GCGTGTGTGTGTGTGTGTGTGTGTGTGTGTGTGTGTGTGTGTGTGTGTGTGTGTGTGTGTGTGCGAGAGAGAGTGAGTGTGTGTTACACTCTCAGAAAAAAGGCACAAAGCTGTCAATGGGGCGATGCCCTTTCAAAAGGTACTAATATGTGCCATTTAGGGGCAAATACGGTATATAGATGTACCTTTTAGCTTGTGGTATGACAGCTTTGTACCTTTCTGAGTGTAGAAACCTAGAACAACTTCTTTGACATTAAGCTTAATGGCAGCTAACACCAAACATCACATTTTAATTATAGCAACAATCACTGTAGTGGTATTTTGAAAGGAATATATACAGCAATGCAGGCAGCAACTAATATTCTTTCATCCAAAGCAAACCCAAGCTAATCTGGCAGCAAATATCCAGCCCAAACTGGGCATTAACAAGCTGAGGCATGTTGAAGGCTAATTGTGAACATGTCATTTTGTGACCAATACATGAGCATTATGTCAAAAGTGACTGTGAATGACATGCAAAGACCGAGGACTAGAAATGTGTTAAATTTCCATTCAAAACTAGTGCAAGTCCCCATCTTAAGTCTTAAGTAATAACATGCACACAGTGAGTGCTCATGGAGTCTCGTCACCCATTAGCACCAAACCCTTCATTATTATGAAGCTACATGCTGTAGGAAACTCACCCCAGTGGCATTTTGCTGTCTGATGTCTAAAGCAGACGCCAGGCTCACCAGAGCCTGAGGTTCCTCATATTTAACGCTGGAAAATAAGCAGAGAAAATAGTTTAGAGTGGATTTTTTTTATGTGGTTTAACTATAGTGGTGTGGAAATGGCACTCACTTTTTGCGCTGGCCAGCCAGACAGCTGGACCTGGTGTGGGCGAACATGTCAAAGTCGTCCTGAGGGTTGCGAGCGGTTAGAGAGCTGAGAGTCCCGGTGTCTGCACCCACTTCTCCCGGGATAAATCATGTTAAAGAGAAGTTTTTCAGTGGTATATATATACAGTATATATATAAAAAACATTTATTGCATTATACAACAACAAAAAAATCACGTTAAATACTTTTGAATTAACGTTTTTTTAGGTTTATTAGCTGTATTTAGTCTATGTTGTCATTCTAATTAAAGGGGTCATATGATTCACTTTCTCTTTGGAGTGTTACAAGCTGTTCATGAATCGATACGATCCCTATAGTTGCAAAGACTAAAGTCTCAAATCCAAAGAGATATTCTTTATAAAAGTTAAGAGTCATCCACGTCCTCCTAAACGGCTCGTTCTAACACGCCCCCACATATCTACCTCACTATGTGGGAGCACACATAGTAATGCAACAAATGCCTCGTTTATAATGGGTTTTATTGGTTTTGTCTCGTCGCTCCGGCCGGACAGGGCATCACAGTATGGTGAGGGGCGTAACGTTTCCGTCACACGCTTGAGGTATTCGGCCAATCACAACGCACGGGATAGCTGGCCAATCACAGCGCACCTTTGAGCTTTGTAAAAAGCGACACATTTCAGAAAGGCGGGGCATAGAGGAGAAACAATAATGTACAGTATGTGGAAAATAATGTGTTTTTTAACCTTAAACCGCATAAACACATTTCATTACACCAAATGCACAACATAATGTTCTTTTTAGCAACATCATATGACCCCTTTAACATGTGTGTGTGAGACCCTCACCATGTCCTGCCAGCTGTGTGGAGAGAGATGCAGCAGCAGGAGGCTGCAGGGTGGATGCGGGTGTAGCGCTGACCCGAGGAGTGACCACTGCTGGAGAACCAGGACCCAACGCTATTAGATTATCCTCCTCTGAAGCCTCATTCAGGACCTGTGCGTTCACAACACACACTCGGCTTTCATCAGAATCAACAAACTCTCTATTACTTCACCCGCTGTCAAAAATGAAAACAAAAAAAACTAATGCAAATTCAAAAAGCAATTAAATAGCACTTGGATGTGATTGCATTTTTTTTTTTTAATTTAAGCAATTTTATTTTCACCTTTAGACATCAACATTATATTATATATTGGCCTTTTATATTTTATTTTATTTGGTCACAGTCTAGCCTTGCAGCTGTCCAGCGTCACAAAGACTTGTAATATTATCACATGTAAAAATTGGAATCTTTTTTCTTTGTGCTAATAGACACACGATGAAGAGGTGAAGCGAAGCGAAGCTACATTAGTTATGTGAGGGATGAGCTGGAGGCCATGCGGTTGTCTGAGCACCATTCAGATGTTTATCAAGTCTGACTCACTGTAAACTCATTTAGCTATTTTTGTTGTTAGGCGTAAACAAGCATGCAGCCGTATTATTTTGTTTATTAAATACTGAGATGCATTAGGTTTAAGTTTGTTTTTGTGTGTCTTTTATGCAATGCTGCCATCTACAGGGAGGTGTCAGTGTCTTACAGCAATTCCAGTTGTTGACTGTAATAGAGAGATGTACATAAAAGGACATTTCTCAAATGGGATGTAGGCAGCTGTATAAATGTAGCATTGCAATTATATATATATATCTAAATTGACTAAAGTTCCCATAGCTAACATAATCCTTTGTGCTATGTACTTGGTGTATTAAAATATCACACATTAAAAAAATAACATTGCACCAACCATATATATATATATATATATATAACATTCTATAACACACACACACATATATATATATATACACACACAAACTGACAACTGTTAAACATGTTTTACTGGCAAATTCGTGGTTTAGAAACAGCTGTCAGTCACAAATGTAACGCTTCCATCAAGTAGAACTACAAATCCCATCACGCGTTTCCCAAAGCAGCCAATGAGCATTCAGCGTCCTTGTTACGCGTGTCCGTCATCCAATCAAATAGCAGCGGGCTGTGTCACATGACTTCGCCTTCATTCCGCTCTGAAGGGACGTAGCCGTGCGTGCCGCGGGAGACGCTCTGAAACGTCCGCATCGCGCCGTCCGTGTCGCGTTTTCTCCCGCTCCAGCGAGTCAGATAAGCGCCTGTGTTCGGGGAGAGCCCCGCGGAAGCGAACAAACATGCCGGTCCGCACCGACTGCTGTCAGGGCTCGTCTCTGGCCTGCACGGCCTCGGCCTCTCTCGTTCCGCCCCCGCCGATCAATACCCTTCAGCCCGGCGTCAGCACCTCTCTGCTGTACAGCGGCTCCCAGCTCCGCGGGCACCAGAAGAGCAAAGGGAACTCGTATGATGTCGAGGTGGTTCTGCAGGTAAGTCGTTGCATTGACTGTTACCCCCCTGACCCAGATTTGCAGATGTAGTTCTCACGCTGTCGCTCTGGCCCCACAGCACGTGACCATGGAGGCCTCGTACCTGTGTGGATACCTGAAGATCAAAGGCCTGACCGAGGTGAGCCGGACAGGTGCTCTTCAGCAGCAGCAGGTGCTCAGTGTGTGGTATCTGCTCTGTGTGCTTGGACACGGCTCTTTATAAAGTGCTTCTAGATGCAGGAGCCTATAGGGGTCCGCCTCAAAATGCATTTGCAAAACTGATTCCATAGAAAGCAGATGCAATGTAGGTAAAGCGTCTGCTTTTAAGGTTTCAAATACGTTTTTGGAGAATAAAATGTCAGAATTTGGTTGCAATAATGTCAGAGTAACACAATATTTATGTAAAAATTCAAACGACATGCTTATTCTGACGTGTGCGCATGAAAATATATCAAATAACAAGGGAGCGTATTCAATTTTATTGTGTTTTAAATGAGTAAAAAGAAAAATCGGAACAAATGGGCGAAACGTAGGACAGTGGCGAATTAAAAAAATGTACAATTACAGCTTATTAGTGTATTTGGGGTGAAAGTAATTAGTCTTTTAGTATGTCGTAAATTGATTTTTAATATGCCTGACAAGATTGTCTTCTGTAAATCAGGGGGAAATGTATGATGTTTATTTTTTGCTCGGAAAAACTAAAACAAAATTGAGATTACGTTAAACGGAAAACTTTTTAGATTTTTTTGGGGGGGGAACGATAACAATTTAAAGCATTATTACACGACCCTTTCTCGTCTTTGAGCCGCACGCACTGTAAAAGCCACTGTGACTGCGGCTCGGTTATAGCGCGTCGAGGAATTATAAAACAGTAGGTGTTTATTTAGATATTGGTCATGTCCCTGCAATTAGCGTTAAAGGGTAATTCCCCCCCCCCCAAAAAATAAATCTTCCAGTCTAATCATAACTCCAAACAAGATGTGTAATGCAATTACTAAAATACAGTAGCATTGAGTTAAAAATAGTCGACGAACGATCGCGTTCTATTGTTTTCCCTAAAGAATGATATTCATATATCTTATTCATCGTATTCATGTTCAATCGCCAGTACAGAGTATTTTACCTACATTACACCACTTTTCAGAGTTTGGGCAGGATACAGTTAAAGTTAAAGAAGCCTTGTGCTCACCGAGACTGCATTTGTTTGATGTAAAATAACTCTGTTGCTCTCTGTAGGAATATCCCACACTCACTACATTCTTTGCTGGGGAGATCATAAGCAAGAAACGGCCTTTTTTAACCAGGAAATGGGACGCGGATGAGGACGTGGACCGAAAACACTGGGTAATAAACAGTCATGATTCAGTGTGTGCATAATGCTCTACACACATCGGGATTATGAATCATTATGCGTCATGACTCAAGTGTGGTTCGTGGTAGAACCCGATCTGCTAAACATGTTTTTCTCTCAGGGGAAGTTTCAGGCATTTTATCAGTACGCAAAAAGCTTCAATTCGGATGAGTTCGACTATGAAGAGCTAAAGAATAGTGATTACGTCTTCATGCGGTGGAAGGTACAGTTTATGACTAAAACCATATGCGGTACCGTTCGGGTGTTTGGGCTCAGGAAGATTTTTCTTGCTGTTTGGAAGAACGTGTCGCTTTTATTCGGCGAGGATGCGTCACGTTTGATCGAGAGTGAGAGTGAAGACACGGATAATGTTTAAAAAAAAAAACATTCTATTTTGAACGTTCCGTTCATCAAAGAATTCTGAAACAATGTATCAATATTAAGCGGCACAGCTGTTTTCATTATTGGTAAATGTTTCTTGAGCAGCATATTAGACATTATAAATCTATAGGATAAATGACATTTTACAATATATTACAATAGAAAACCGTTATTTTAAATTGAAATAATATTTCACAATTTTTACAGTATTTTTGATCCAATAAATGCAGCCTTAATGAGCAGAAGAGCCTTCTTTCAGAAAAATCCTACTGACCCCAAACTTTCGAACCGTAGTGTATATCTAGGAGTCCATGAAAGCCAAATAAATCATGCAAATAAATGTGTTTGTTTCAGGAGCAGTTCCTAGTTCCAGATCACACGATCAAAGACATCAGCGGCGCTTCCTTCGCTGGCTTCTACTACATCTGTTTCCAGAAGTCTACAGCCACCATAGAGGGTTACTACTACCACAGAAGCTCGGAATGGTATGGACTTGAAGAAATTATTCATTAAATACAAAAAATGAATGTAAATACTCAATATATGTAGATCGTAGGGCCGGGCGATATAGCTAAAAAAAAATGTAGCAACGATATAATGTTTCATATCGTTCGGTATCGATAATTATTGACATTATAACCTTTTTTAAAACACTGAGCAATAGAAAACATGTTTAAATGTAACCACTGTATTTTTAAATGAATCCAAATTATTGAGACAAACGACAAGTATTTTTTGTTTTAACAATCAAACACAAAATCTAATTTCTAATGTTTTATATGCAGATTAAATAGGTCTTGAGGAAACTTTTGGCTTGTCTCCCGAGGCCACAGGAGGGAGCAATGAGCAAAATAATGCAGCGCATTTAAATAGTCAACGCAAGGAAGTAACTCTATAAAAAACATGCATTATGTCTAAATGAACTCAAATATAATTTCGTAAATCGCATAAACAATTATGAACAAAACAGCATCATGTATTTATGCATTGCTTAATCCAAAGAGCCGAAGCGCCCATCACACAGGCTGCATTTAAAACATACGAGACGCAGTGAAAAGGAATAAACCTTCACAAATTCGTGACGTGTTTTCTAAAAGTTTAAACCGTTTTAACTTTGCATGGCTTGTGTGAGACATGAGTGCAGCAGTCGTATTTGTCGGTCTAAAAAAATGCTCTGAATATGCGTCTGTGTGAATGGCTTGGTTTGGGTCTCCGCATTGAGCTTCTATATTTCTCTAATATTTTGAATGAATAACGCAGCAGCGGCGCGTCTCGTGGGCTAGACTAACAAAACATTAAAATACAACAACGTCACTCACATCACCGCATCTCACGCGCCACTGACGACGCTCCCTGATGCACACCTAACATTCACATGTTTATTTTAAATTCGACTAATATTCACAATCTCCTCATCACAGATAGGCGCAACACTCATTTCAGCATGTGTTTGTGTGTGCTGTGTGCGTCACTCATAGCACGTGCGCTATATCGAACATTTTTTCTATCGTTATCGAAGAAGGCGTACCGTCGATAAATATCGATACCGTTTTATCGCCCAGGCCTACTAGATCACCTCAAGAACCCAGTTTTAATCCTATTCTTATTAGGTATCAATCTTTGAAGCTCACACACGTCCCTGAACGCAGCGCACCCATCTACGAGTTCCGGTGACACTGAAGTCCTGGAGGTGAATCTACAGCGGACATGAGAGGAACGGTCGAATGATTACGCCCAGGACCCTCAGCGAAGGGTACAGATGATGGAGAACTCTGTCAGGAGACGGTCTGCACAAGCCAGCGGGACTCGGGGATTCGCAGCAGTGTTAGCGATTTGCTTTTCCTTTTTTTTAGTTTTTAACGATTCTGTCCTCCGATCATCTTAGAAAACTATTTTTATCCTGAAGGTTCGGGGGATTAAAACCACAGTTTTTCTTTGCCCTGGATGCATTATTTTTTTTTCCCCCGCCTTGTAATTTGATAAAACAGCATGGCCAATCTAGGAGTTTGTTTTAATAAATTTTTTAACCGTTGTCTGTGACAGGACTGTGAGCGGGACGGCGTATGCAGACACTGGGATGTCTCTCGAAGGCGTATCAAAGATTCAGTGTGCGTTACGATGGATGCATAGAGTTGCTATTGTCTGCGGCTTGCTTGGCCCTCAGACGGTGTTTTTTATTAACGTAAGGTGTATCATCAAAAGTCTCAGATATAGCAGCTGGGTCCTTGGCTTCTACGTGTGATATATTTTTTATGATGAAATGAAACGGAGTCAGGTGTTTTGGAAAGAGGTATATATATATATATATATGTATTAATCCATGGTGGTAAAGCTATTTGTAAAGCTGCTTTGGAGAAAAAAAAAAATCTGTGTAGTTTTACGCTCCTTGTTTTGCTATGCAAGCCGAACAAATCTCAGTTTATAAGAATCTCAAGTATATGGAAGTCTGTTTCCACCACGCAATACCAACGTTAAGGTAGTTGTGACTTTTTTTGTTACGCAATTCCTAATTTATTTCTGGAAATTGTGAACGTATATCTTAGTTATTTTAGTTAACGTCTTGCAATTTTTTGCCTAAAATTCTGAGTTAATATCTCGCAGTTCTGACCTTTTTCCTTCAAATTTTGGAAGTTTATATCTCGCAGCTTTGACTTTTTTTCTTCAGAATTTCAAATGTATATCTCAGAATTCCAGGAGGAAAAAAAGAAAAAATTTTCTTGGAATTCCGCGTCTGTATCGCACCGTTCTGACATTTTTTTCCCCCCCAGAATTTGGAATTAACATCTTGCAGTTCTGACTTTTTTCTTCAGAATTTCAAATGTATATCTCGGAATTCCAGAAAGAAAAAAATGTGAAATTTTTCATGGAATTCATGGAAACGGTATCTCACCGACTTTTTTCTTGGAATTCTGAGTTTGCATATCTATATAAATAGCTATATATATATATATATATATATTTTTTTTTTTGTGCAATTCTGAGTCTATAGATTTTTTCATCTGAATTTTCAATTTATATCTCAAAATTCCGTTTTTTTCTTTCTCGGAATTCTAAATTAACATCTCACAATTTTGACTTTTTTCTCTCTCTGAGAGAAATAAAGTCAAAATTGTGATTTATAAAGTCACAATGAAATGTTTTATTATTATTATTCTGAGGTGGAAACGGGCTTCCATACGAGTCTCTTAGGTTTGAGAATAATCACTTCTCACTTGTTCACTTTAATATCGACAGCTCAGAGAGTATTGATTGGTATTCGGTGCGTCGGAAGCACAACCTGGCTTTCAGTCCTCGCTGAAGAGGTCATGAAGAATAAGCAAGTGTTTTTATCGGAGGGCTCAGGAAGATTTTTTCAAAGCAGGTGGACAACACTGTTATTTTAAACTACCCATCAGTTTTTAATGGCCGTGATCTGATGCTACAAAACCCAGATGCGTCCATTTAAGCTTTAGTCAAACCCTTTGCCTTAAAAGTCAGAGATGTGTCTATAAACTACTTTTATAAGCATCAGTTTAAGCTCTGTACAGACAGAAAGACTAATAAGAATGTGACGTTTGAAATGAAAGATTGCCGTACCTCATCCACCGAAACCTCCTTTTTAATTGTAGACTAGCGAGTGTTTAACATCAGATCCACGCCACATTTCAACCTAGCCGTGTTGAGATGTCCTAATGACGTTTTGTGCGTAGAAAATAAGAAAATCCTTTATTTTTGGCCCATCCCGTGGCCAGATCCCACTAATAATGCACATCACGCCTAACACATGCCCAGTAATTGACATGTTTTGCAAATGTGTGTAAATTTGACATCTTTTCCTGTTTTGTTCAGTTCTTTTGTTGTCCTTAAAACCAGAAACGTGGTCCCAGAGAAGTGTTCATGAAGATGTGTGTTTGCCGCCCCTAGTAATCTGCTGCGTGAAGGAGAAGATGTATTTAAAGCAATGCTAAGCTAATGAAAGGCCACTGCACATGCTGTTACAGTACAGGAAGAGGGGATGTACATAATAGGGCTGATTTCATTCTCCACAATTATGAGGGATCTTTTTATTGGCACAAAAAGATAGGGAAATAAAGGAAATAAGAAAATGAAGTTGCTGTTGTTGTTTTGTGGGGTTCAGGACATGGATCGGCTTTCTCCGGATTGAAAGGAAAGTGATTTATTTGAGTTATAATAGATGTAGCACTAGATGGCGTAGTACCATCTCTTTAATACATGGACTGTGAATTATTTCACACACCGGTACTTTTTAAACAGCCACATTATTGTCACATGACCTCCTTATGTTACATGCTTATTTCAGCAAATGGTTATGACAGAAATACGTTTTATGGTTATATTAACTTTCCAAAGTTCATTGATTCACGCTGGAAATGAAGGTCAAGTCGAGCACAATGCATTATGGGAGACTATTCCATGTGCTTTGTGGTCTGCCATGAATTGCACATTCCAGTCATCCAGAATTATGTATGAGTAATGCAATATTTAGAGTGGCGAAGCAATAAAGCATAAACGATTAACTCAAAGGGGAAAAAAAATAGTGACCCAAATGCAAAGTCATAAAGGTAGGGTCTGATATTATATATATATGTATGTGACCCTGGAGCACAAAACCAGTCATAAGGGTAAATTTTGAGGAAATTGAGATTTATGCATCATCTGAAAGCTGAATAAATAAGCTTTTGTTAGGATCGGACAATATTTGGCCGAGATACAACCATTTGAAAATCTGAGGGTGCAAAAAAATCTAAATATTGAGAAAATCATCTTTAAAGTTGTTCAAATGAAGTTCTTAGCAATGCATATTACTAATCAAACATTAAGTTTTGATATATTTACGGTAGGACATTTACAAAATATCTTCATGGAACATGATCTTTACTTAATATCCTAATGATTTTTGGCATAAAAGAAAATAATGCAATGTATTGTTGGCTATTGCTACAAATATCCCCCAGCGACTTAACACTGCTTTTGTGCTCACCAAGGCTGTATTTATATGAGCAAAAATGCAACCAAAAAAATCTAATATTGAGAAATATGATTGCAATTTAAAATAACCGTTTTTTTTTTTATTATTTGAATACATTTGAAAGTGTAGTTTATTTCTGTGATTGTATTTTCAGCATCATTACGCCAGTCTTCAGGGTCACATGAAACATTTCTGATTATTATCAATATTAAAAACTGTTGTGCTGCTTCATATTTGTGTGGACGCCTTGATAAAAGCACACCATTTAGCTATTTGAAACAAAAACCTTTTGTAACAAATGTAAAAGTCTTTGCTGTAAATTTAGTGCATGCGTACATTAATTTTCTTTCACCATTTTCACGAGTGTTTTGGACTTTTGTCCTGATTGTTTATCATTCACACAAGCATTTCACTTTTATCACTATATTATGTCAATGTGGTTAACGGTAAGCCAACAGTAATAAACAGTAACCAAATATTTCCCAGCACAATGCATGTTTCACAACACAGCCTATACTTGACGTCAAAAATCAAATAACACTTGACCGTTCTTATTGTTATTCTGTGAAAGCGAATCCATATGATTCACAGCAGGAAATAATGGAGGCCAGTTTACTTTCCTTTCACAATGGCAGTCTTACAAAGGAAGAAATCAAGTTACAATAATGAATCGGTTACGTATTTGCGCATCATGCATTAGAAATGTGCTGTCAAAAAATTCACACAGTTTGGAAACCCGAGATGCAAGAAAAATGTGCATTGAATTCTATTCATATATATATATATTATAAGAAAATGCAAAAACGCCCATCTAAAAGTCACAAGGGTGTTTCTAGGAAAGTTGAGAAATACAGTAAGAGTATAATGAGCAATGAGAATGGAAAGAGTTCAGTGGAAAGCTTGAGTTTGCCATGCTTTAATTTTTTTCTAGATTGCTTTTCCGATTCAGTGATGAAGTCACTGTATGCTTTGTATTTATTATTTATGAATAAAAAAAGGTTTGTTCCAATTTTTTTTCTCTCCGTTATACGGATGCTCTGTGGGTTTATGGTACCTGTACAAAGACACGCAACAAAATTACTAGAACTTTCCAATTAAAATTGGAACAGAAAATAGAAAAATAAAATCTACACTGTAAAAAAATGATTGTGATTTTAACAGTAAAAGACTGTAAAAATGCTACAGTAAAAACCTGTTAATTGGTTACTTAACAGTAAGTTTCCGTACTATATTCGGTGAATAAATGCAATTACATTTAATGTGATTTTACAGTAAAATACTGTTAAAAATAAGGTTTTTGGAAGTGAAAAAGAAAAGCCATTGTATAATCTACAGTGAAAAACCGTAAATTGACACTCCCAGAATTCCCTGCATGGCATATTTGATGTGTTTTTGTTGAAATAACATGCTTCTAGTGTACACTAGGGTTTAATCTTACATCTAATGTTGTTAAATGAATGTTTATTGCATTATTTCAGGTTTAGTGTTTGTGTGAATGACACTGTGTGCACCTTCTAAATATAAGTATTGCCCTCCTCAGCTCGTAGAAAAGCTGTTTGTGATGAGCTTTGGTTCAGTTTTTGGTGGTTATCAGTGCATTACAATGATCCAAAACAGATATTAGTACTTCAGTGTGTTGGTTTGTTAACATCATATTAACATCAGTTAATAAAATACGGTATTTTATTGTGAATTTAAGTTAAGTCTGTAAAACCTAAAATGTTGCTGCCATAGTTTTTACGGTGAAGCTCTGGCAACCACAGCTGCCGGTATTTTACCGTAAATGTCACAGATTCGTTTTTTTTACAGTGTAATTCAAAATATTACCAGAAACTATAATAGTATATCAATGATAACAGTGGTATAAAGTTGAGCTGTTTATACTTTATATATGTAATTTAATATTTTAGTAGTTTTATTTAATCATCTTATTGGTTTTAGTCACATAGAGAAATGCATGTTTCCATTGTTCAAGGCTTTGTATTAATTATCTTGAATTTCATATAATGCGATACA